GTAATTTCCTTTATGCTTTTCTTATTCTAGATCTATCATAATCATAATCTTTCGTGATACTCTAAAAACATCTGTATTCAATATGCATTAGTCAATATTTTTTAATGAAAACAATCCATAAGAAAACTTATTTCTACTAGAAAGAAATCTTTTTTTATCATACCTCCATTTGTGAAAGTATTTTTAAAGCACTACAATATCGTTGTAATAATGATTGTGATGTATTTTTCTTCAAAACTAAATTCTAAAATAATTAATTTGTTTTTTATATTTCAATACAAAAAATATTATGATCATACTTTAATCATATCCTTTGCACTAATTAATGATTGTTTTAATCGTTCATTTTCATCAAGCTAAAATTTAATAATTTATTATATTCTATTAGAAAAAATGATTACATACATTTGATAAAAGATCAAGTCTTTGATGACAAAGATTTTCTTCATTTTCAATAAAATTTAAACGTAATTTAACAGCTTCAGCATTTCGTATTTCATTATAATTACTAGCTAATAAAGCAAATTTACTTATAGCTAATAGAGTCTATTTCAGCAAAGAAAGACAGAAAATAAATATATAAATAATTATTATTAAATATTTACTTGACGTTTTCCGATTGTTTCAGCAACTTGTTGTAATGTTGAAAGAGAAGCCTAGAATATTTAATAATAGTTTTAATAAGAAAAGCTTTGTTTTTTTATTTACATTTTCATATTCTCGTTTTTTTATATCGACCATCCAAGCATATTCTGTTTTAGATTTTAAATAATGTTGAACAGATTTTAAATCAAAATATTCTTCTTGAAATAAAACAGATCTTGCTGATTTTAATCGTAAATATTCTTCAAATATAACTATAAACTAAAAAAGAAATTTTTCTTAATAAATTATTTTTTAAATATAAAATCTCACTTTATCTCCATATTGTTCAACATAAATTCTTAATTGTTCAACATCTTTTAATTCATCACATATTTCAATTAATGTAGAATAATCTTCAAATTCTTCAGCTAATTGTTTACCTTTCGAAAATTCTTTTAATTTAACTAAAATTATAATTAATTAAACAAATATATAAATTAATTAAAAAAATATTTTTTTTACTAAAGAGTTTTATTAATAAACTTCGTGTTTGTTTATAATTAATCCATGGTCGTTGTTCCATATCATTATTTAAATCATTATCAGAATATAGATCACATATATATAAACGATATTCATCAAGAATATGATAAATAAGACGAGAGATCATTTGTATAAGACGTTCACGAACTTCACGTGATTCACATAATTCTAATACTTGTTCAAAATGTGTAGTACACTAAACAAAAGAAGATTAAGTCTTGCATGTTTAATTATATCTACGAATAATCCTCTTTTTTTCTAAAATTAATTAATATTGTATGTCAAATGAAAGATTATATATACAATAGATGTTTAATTAAAAATCGTATTAGACTGCCATTGCAAAGTATGACAGAATATACTTCTGTATCAAATAGTCTTAAGATTTATTTAAAATAGTATGAATAATTTTACTGTAATACAGATCTATGTCGTGTAGTTAACTTATACATATGCAAAACTTCCATTCTTGATAAGAGACTAATTGTAAACCGAATGTTCATCATCTGAATTCATCCTTTATGTGCTATACATTCTTTAGTCTAGTTTACTAAACAGAAAAAGTAAGGGTGAAGATGTCTAGGGATCTGCATTGTCAGTGAAAATACTGAAAACGAACGCTGAAAGCATCAGTGTGAATGATCACCATGTCACTGGAAGTATCGGTGTCAGTGTCACTACTAGCTAGAATATATTTGTGCTAAACCTTAGTATTTACAGCAATATCTTCAGTGCTCACTGAAAACTGACTCGGTAATCACTGGCACTGCATATCCCTAAAGATGTCAATTGCCTCTTCTCGATTACTAATAGTCTTTACTGTTTAGTGATAAAGAAGACTGACAATCTGACTTTGTAAATAACTTACATGACGTATATATAAATCATTTAGATTTTGTTCATATAAAATCCATGGTTGACAAATAATTGATTGTGTAAAATCTTCATCATCAATTGGATTTGAAGGTATAACTGATTCTTGTTCATGTTCCTGACGATATTTATGTATACTATCAAATGCAATTAATAATAAACGTGTTGCTTCTTCATAAGATTGAATTTCAATTGTACGACTTGCTTCAATAACACCAACAATAATTGTTGTTAATACTTCAGATATATGAGAAATCTAAATATTAACATTTTCCCTAAAACAATTTGTTAATTATATTAAAATATTTACTTGATTTTGACGAGATGTTGAACGAAATGCTGCTTGTAAATAAAGTGATTGTCTAAAATAAACAATACAGATATAAAAGAATATAAATATATAAATAACGAACTGGCTTGCATGAGCAAAAGCTTTAGCACATTGTAATTTTTCACCAAATTGTTGTAAAATTTGTTTTGTATGATAAATTCCATTATTATAATGTGCAACATGAAGCTACAAAGGTTCGATAACGGATATTAGTAATCAATATAAGAAAAATATCTTCATACCTTATTCCATACACTAATTAGTTTGAGAAAAGAAAAATAATAATTATAAATATCTGCTTTTTTTGCTAATTGTCTAGTTAAATCATTTGTTTCTAAATGAATATTAAAATTAAATTTCAAGATAAACTTCGTTTTCTCTTTTTCAAACCTTGTAATGTTGGATCATCAATAATAAATATTGCAAATTGTATAATAATATCATCTAATTGATTTGTATCGATTGTATTTATAAATCGTCGAAATAAATCAACCGCACCACCCTAATATTAAAAAAACTAAATTATTATTGAATATAATCAAATAATATTTTTACCGGATCATTTCGAATAAGAAATGCATGAAATGAATTGATCATTGGTTGATATGGATCATCATTTGTTATTTTCGAAAGTAGACTATAAATTATAAAATTCTAATCATTACAATTTTCTCTTTTTCCTATTACTTTGTCATTAAATCTTGACCACGTGGTGTTATTAAACCTTGTACATGACAAAAAAGTAATAAACGTTGTCCACATAAACCACTTCCTAAGATTGTTTCATGCATATTCGAAAAACTAGCACGAAGTAGTACAGAATAATCAGGACCTATTCATTTAATGATAAAGTGATAAAATAAATATATATTTAATTTCTTTACCAGTATAAATAAAAGCATCTTTTTGTGTATGAACTAATATTGCTGGTTGATTTGGTACAGCAAATATTCGTACATGAGGTTTGACAATAATTTCATCTAACTGGAAAACAAATTTAATAACTATTAAACTCAAATATTATTTTTGAAAACTTACACGAATATTTAGATGATTTTCAAGAAAAACCATCGAAACACGTTGAACACCAGTGTGATTTAATGAAAATATTCCTACATATAAAAAGAGAAGTATAATAGAAATCACTAAAAAAACTTATTTTTACCCAACATTAAACGATAATCTTGTGTAGTATGATGAATAGCAAGAACATAAATTGTTTCTCTAAAGTAAATAATCTTAATTATTAATTTTTCTAATTCAAATATTTCTTTCTTACTGTGTTACACTGAATGATATACATGAAACATTTCGATTATTATCATTTAGTTTCTAAACTCAAATAAATTTCTATCTCTGTATTACAAAATAGTTTAACTACAAACTTGTTCTTGTAGTGCTTCAGCAGCAAACATTTCTTGAAGATCCAATGAATGTACAAGCTATCGATTAAAACAAAATATATATATATATCTATTTAATTACGAGAGAAAAACGAAATTATACTTGAATATCATTTTCTGCTAAATACCAAAAATATAAATGTTTATCAGTTAATGATATTAAATCAACATTCATTGTGGATGTTGTTTGTGTTGATGTATCATTTTTTAATGAATGAAGACAGCGAAGAATTTCATTATCTTTCATTTGACGACTTGTACCAAATAACATGGATTTTAAACCAAAACCAATTGATGAAAGTAATGATGAAGATGATGGACGGATATAAGCCTATTCATAAATATATATATACATCAAATAAGAAATCTCATTTTATATATATATCCTTACTTTATTACATAGTGCATTACATGGAATTGTATATAATCTTCCTGAGTAAGAACCACAGACACAAATATCATCCTAAAATGGAAAATATGTTTTTATTCAATAAGAAAAAGAAATTCGAATACTTTAAAATGACATAAAATTTCTATCTGATCAAATTCAAGTTTAACATCATAATAATCATTTGGTCGTACAATCGTTCGCCAATAACGAGCATAACCATCACATGTTATAACTAAACATGAACAACAATCACTATCATCAGCATTAATAGAAAATAATTCCATTAAATTTGCTTGTTGTCCAAGTGCACATTCAGGTAATTTTAATTCTTGATGAATAACAGCATCCTGAAAATACAAAAGAAAATGATTAATAATTCAAATTAATCAAGATTAATTTATTTACTGTTATACGATTTGAACTTGATGCAGGCCAAACAAAAGCTGTTTGACCCGAGACAAGCCAACAATAACCATTACGTGAAAATCGAGCACTTAACGATGAGATATCTATAATCGAGAGAATTTTATTAGATATACTAGCTATCATTTTTATATAACCTGTAGTATGATTGAGTGCTCCACGAACAGATGCTGGTAATTTTGATGAATATTGTTCAAATGGTGAATTATTTGATGCTGATGATAATTGAAAACCAGCTGATATCATCGATCGTTGTCGAGAACTATGATTTATAATTTATAAAATTCTTATAGAAACAATTTTTATTTTCTCACCGATCACTCAAAAATGATAGATCATTCGTTGATAAATTCATTTCTTCTCTTCTATCTGCAAATTAAAATATATTCTTTTATTATTATTGTTATAGAAAAAAAGGCAATTTAGCACCGGTGAACTTTTATTTAATAAAAAAAACAGGTCAAAAAATGGCTCTTCTTATTCATGATATGAGTGAAGGTTATAGTTTCATTTTTTTTTAAATCATGAACATATACAATCAAAAAGACGAATAAAGACAGACAGTACGATGTAAAATTGGAAGAAACAAAACATATAAAAGATGTCACATCATGCCAGTGATCTAATAGCATCATAAACCATATGAAAGTCACCCATTAAACTAAAACTTGGATAAATAAATGTTGCTGGTTTATTATGTTCGAAAAAGAAATGACCAATCCAAGCAAAACTATATCCCAATAGAAGTGGTATGAAAGTTTTTTTAAATGAACGTGTTATTAGTTTACCACCAATAATATAAACCATCATAAATAAACCCATTTCGGGTAAACCATTTGATAAATGACGAAAGAATGGTATTGATGAATAAGCAGTTAAACCGCCAGCTAATATTGGAAGTACAAGAAGTGGATTGAATAACATATAGATTAAGAAAAGACTTGTACCAACATAATGCCATTGTCGAGTTGTTTGTTGACTGTGTTCATCAAGATAATGTGGATAGAATTCTTCAAATGTTTCATATGGTTTTGTTGGTGATATTTCTTTTGAAAGATATTCATTTAATGGTGGTGAATTACGTGTTTGTAATACAACACTTGCAAGAGCGATTACTAAGGTACAAAATACAATACCGGGTAATGATGAAGAACGTTTCTGTTCAATGGATTGAGTTTTTTTACCCATTGTTAATCTAAAATAATGTAAAAAAAAAACATTTTTTTTCTCATTTATTACAGATAATACAGAAGTATGAGTGATAAAATTTTTGTTTTGGATGAAATTACATTTAAAAGGTAAGCACATGTTTTTATCATGCAAATAGTTTCGACTAGAAAATATCATAACTACTAATTCTTTAAATCTTTGACCACTTTTATAACTTGCAAGAAAATAGAAATATACTGATATCTTATCTTGAAAAACATGTGAGTTTAAATGAATACTACTGAGAGTTCACTCCAATAATCCATATTATATCTGATATCGACATAAAGAATAAAAAACGTATCAAAAGGTGTCGTCAGTTGTCAGAAAATACTTTTAATTGTTAAGTATATAGACAGTCATCATAATTCATATAGCATAATTTTAGAAACTCGACATTGCTATAATAAAAAGTCCATATACTATCAAAGCAATACGTATATATTTCAAAGAAAGTAGTCCGTAGAAATCGTGTCGTACTATAAAAGATCAGTCCTAATTGATAACGAAAGTAACTCGCGTATAAAGACATAAATCACAGTTTTATTTTCTAATAAAACTACTAAAAATCATCAAACTAGTACAGTATCACATATTATATATTGCACAAAACATTGAAATGATAATAATAAAGCACGATTAAAAAAAAGATTAAATTAAATACTTTTATTTTACTAAAAAAAATTAATAAGAAGAAAAATAGGTATTATTTTTAAAATTTATTACGAATATAAGTTAAAACATAAATAAAAAATTAAAATTAAAGTTCGTCGTGACCCTGTCCATTATATGTATTTAGACGTAGCAGTACTATTAAATCAAATAAATTAATATTTGTAAAATTAAAATGTATTGTTACCTTCAGCTAGTCCATATATAATAATTACAATAGCAAAAACTAAAAAAAACATTTTTTATTGCGGAGTTCATACAATGACTTGTAGAACTTGCGTGCGACTAGTGAGATTGCGATAAGAACATCAGTTGATAAACGTGATGTTGTTTGAACTGGCTGTGGTTGTACTGCCGGTGTTGATTGTTGTTGTTGAGCAACCAATTCTTGAGATCTAATCTAAAATAAAAAGAAGAATTCATAAAAGTCAATGCAAGAGAGTCAATGAATTATGACTGTTTGACAAGAACAGCAAACATGTATATAGAATGGATTGGAGAGTCGAGTGAGTGTGTTTTAGCTTCATTAGCAATTGATTTTGACAAAGTATATTATGAAAATTGCGCTTGGCAATTGCATGATTCTAATATACTTTGTACAATACAAGAAATTCAATCTCGACAGCACGAATTGAATAAATTTAATGAAAATAATTCAGTTGACAATCTTTTTATCTTGAAATATTTTAAAAGTGTCTGAATTAATTTATAATACTGTGAGAAAACCATCGATATAACTTCAATTTAAAATAAGCTAATTTCTTTTATTAAACAAGAAGCATTCATCAATACTCAAGTCACTTGTTCTCTAGACTGAAAAAACCCATGTGCGCTTGTTATTATATGAGCAAAATATGACAAAATAAAATACTATATATATTTATGAAAACTTGATTTTTTACACTTAAAGTTGAATTACTCAATATAAAGAAAAAATGAAAACGCATTTGCCTGTGTGTCTGTACCAGGATCAAAGGTCAAAGGTAAAAAAAATCATGTTTTCGGATTGGACTTATTGAGACGTTTTCGTGATTGAGAAACTCGAATATAAGCTCCATTGACTTGGGCAACCATCTAGGCGTGGGGAGATCGTTGGTGACAGTGTAAGTGAACGCTAGAACCAATAGAAATTCAGTTTTTCAAAAGACGCATTTTTAGGGGTATTTCAAGGCAGAAAATTCGAATATGAGGTCTATTTGATCAGACAGCTTGAGGATGTGGGCGAGGAGCTGGGTGAACGTAAGAACCAATAGAAATCGAGTTTTTGAAAAGACACATTTCTAGGGGTATTTCAATGCGGCAAACTCGAATATGAGGTCTGTTTGGTCGGACAGCTTGAGGGTTTGGGCAACAGATTGCGGGAACGTGAGAACCAATTGACACTCAGTTTTAGAGCAAAGACATGTCTACAGTTATTTAGATGGTTTCGTTCTCGTAAGAAGTACGCAGGTATCAGGAGTCGTTGGCTTTCCTACTTTTTGTTATTTTCCACGCTATAATGATTGATTCACGGCTGGTTTAAGAATAAATTTTTGTTGGAATCTTAAACGTGACTTCATCTGCGTGTATTATTGATTGACATGCGAATGCTGGTTGGGAGTGATATACAACGAAAGGTATGGGTGTGGGTTGAGTGGGTGGGGCGCGCGTGTGGATGGATGGAGTGTGGGCGTAGGTGTAGGTGAATGCGGGTGTGGGTGTGTAAATTAGTTGAATATCTGATTTCACTCACATTCAACACACCCACACCCTCTTAACAGTTTAAGTATCGATATATTACCGCAGTACCTAAAAATATTGCTGATAAGATCATTACTAACTGGCAACGAAAGTAACTCGCGTATAAAGACATAAATCACAGTTTTATTTTTTTAATAAAACTACTAAAAATCATCAAACTAATACAGTATCACATATTATATATTGCACAAAACATTGAAATGATAATAATAAAGCACGACCAAAAAAAAGATTGAATTAAATATATGTTTTATAAATAATTGTATAATTACGATGTCGTACATTTATTTACACGACCATGACGTTTCGAAGATTGTTTCGATTTAATATAAATGTTATCTACAAGTGGACTTTCTAATAATGCTCGAATAAATATTCCACCCATAACTGGTCGTGCACGAAAACCTAAAACATGACCATTCGATGCATCATACCAATCACTCAGTGGCATACGATCAGGTGATTCATTTGCGAATTTATATAATTTACCAAAGATAACATCTTTTTCTTTCAAATCATCACTAAATGAAGCTACCCATGATGTCCAATCTGCTTTGGTTAATTTCGAACGTGAATCAAGTGGAATACCAAAATCAAGCATTTTTGATGCATAATAATTTGATTCAAGTTTAGCTGTATCTGTTGGAAATAAGTTTAATGATAAAATTGATTGAAAAATAAGATTATATTTTTGTGACCAAGTATTAGGTAAATCATATTGAAGACGATAATTTTGATCATCACGTGCTGCTTTTAACCAATAATTAGCTTTTATTTTAATAAAAAAAGATAAATTAATGAGAAGAAAAATAGGTTTTTTTTTTAAAATTTCATACCATGATCTTGTGCTTGATTCATATATGTAGTAGCACGCTGTGCTTGACCAGTTGAATTCAAAAGAATTGCATAAGCACCTAAACCTAAAATACCTTTTAATGCTAAATTACAATTATGTGGTGATGGTCCTTCCTATAACAAGATAGTAAATTTCATTTTTGTATTTATGAAAGAAAAAAAAGCAACATACGAAGTCATCTGTACAAAGTTGATTTCCTGGATCTGGTAATGTACTATTAAGATATTGAGCCCAAACTTCCATAACATCCCAATACGGTTGAAGAAAATCAGCTTTATTAAGTTTTTGAACAATACCAGCAAGCATTAATAACATATTTGCTGATTCTTCCATAGGCATTTGTTCTTGTTCATCAGGTAAAATATCACAAACTGACCAAGTTCCTCTAGAAGAAAACAAAACAATTACAAAAACAAAACAATAATTATAATTTATATTTACAAATGATGAGGTGCCCATGCTAAATTATAATGAATATCTGTTTCATTATTAGCGTAAGCAAGTACTGGTATAAGAACATCACGTAACATTTCTGGATGTAACCAAAGAAAATAGGGTGATGATGGATAAATAACATCGACTGTACTAACATCACCATCTGATGAAATTTCTTTCATATATAATGCTGAACGATTTTGTTTATCAGACCATGTTCGTGTTAATGCTCCTGTTATTTGTCTTGTTACAAGTGATCCAAGTAATGAATATTGACTTCCACCAATATTTGTTAATAATGTTATTAATAATTCATTTGAATCTGTTATATCAGCCATATTTGATTCGTAATATGATATTGCTTCTTGTATAAGTTGTTTAGGATCATTATTAAGTTCAGTACGCCAACATGGTGGTTGCCATTCTTCAAAATATAACATTGAATAAACATCATCAAAAAGAAATATTAAATAGGATGAAATTGTTTGTGATGTAACTTGATCTAAGTTGATAATAAATGCAGATGATGGTGATTGATCATGAGCAGGACGTGGTTTTCGTGTATCATCACTTGGCATTGCTTGATGATTAACAAATGCTTGACGAAGATTATCACCAAAACCTTGATAACCATTTGTGACAGTTTTATTTGGGCCAATTAAATGTGCATAACCCCAATTATTTCGTGTAGCATCACCACGTATACTAAATGGAATTTGATTATAAGCATTCATTGTTAATACAGTTACATTATCATCGGTTCGACTCCAAAAAACTTTTTCATTTTTATCATTAAGACCTAACATTGGACCTTCATCAAAATAAAGGCGAACATTATGAGCTTTTCCATCTAATGCACGAACATTAAATGTAATGTATGTATATGGATCTTCAATTGCCGTAGGTTGACTAAATGCTAAAACAAGTTCTACTGTATTATCTGGTGTAGAAAATGTATAAATTGTACGCCATGGTTGAACAACAACTTTCTTTTGAATCAAACGTGGAACATTTGATGGTAAAGTACCAAGAAAACGATATACTTGAGTATTATCAATATCAATTAAACCATGAAAGTCCAAAGGAGATCCACTCCAATGAACAGTATCAGAATCGGTAAGATTGTCCGAAAAAGACCAAACTAGATAGAAATTACATATATAATAAAAACTTATTTATAATAATCAACTAAAGATTTCTGCTCATATGAATGCTTCGAAGAAAAGTTAAATGCAAAGTTCTGATGATTTTATTAGAACTTTATTGTGTCGACAAATTATTGGAAAATGATCTTAGAAATTTTGATCGAGTATATTTGACGTGCAGAAAACGAATGTGAATGAGAAATCAGTGTTTTTTATATTACTATGGAAAACAATAGGAATTTTTTCTATATATTTATCAAATTCAACATATTCTTAAGCTCGATAGAAATGAACTAACAATAGCAATCGAAACTTATGTAAAAATGTTTTTTTCTGTTTATATTTATTATCGTTTTTTTAATTCGATAATTACTGAAATTTATATAAAAAATAAGAATTAATTTAGTATGCGTCCTTGCGGCATCTGCTTTGATAAATACCTTCATCATGATTTTATTCGTTTCTTATCATACATTCGAAATAAAACAGAACTATCTATTGGATGTTTGTAAGAATGTACCTACCATAAAATACGTTTGATTTACTGTATTAAAATACCAAACGCTACTTTTCTTATCCTTATTTAAATCATAAGAATATACTCTTTTTTTTTAAGAATTCTATAAAATTTTCATTATTTTATTTTAAATAAAATTTAACTATGACTCACCCGATATATGAGGACTAAATACGATTAATGGTACTGCTGGAGGACGAAAATCGCCAGGATCACCATTAGCCTTTGTAACAGCAAGAATAATAAGTAAAGCGAATAATACTCGTTTCATACTACTAAAAAATAATACGAGACAATATGTAATCTAAAAAAGAAATAAACAGATCTTATATAATAACTAAATGTTGATGAAAACGAAAGAAAAAATAACTAAATAGATAATAATATTATATTTTTAACTTCTCAAAAGGTGTCACTTGATTCTTGTATAATAAATTTTAATATTCTTCATTAAATATCAATAATTTTTCTCTAATATAGATCTGTATTGTTTTCATCTATGTCTAATCAATTGATAAGTATAATTTTACATGAAAATGAAGTATATTTTGAATATAAAATTCTATTTTATGTTTATAGTACAACCTGATGTTCTACCAACTAATCAAGTATTACAAGAACATTTAAATTCATCCGTATTTTTAACAAATAATGTATGGAAAATAGCGTTCTCACCATGTTCAGAATATTTAGCTATACCAAAACAAGATATCTATGGTCAATATTGTGTACTTATTATGCGTTGTTCAGATTGGAATGCAACGAATATTACAGACACTGACTTATGTTTACATAATCGTTTTACTTGTACATCAGCAATATGGTCATTAGCATTTGGTGAAGGAAAATTAAGTTCGAATTCAATAATAAAATCAAATTTTTATGAAACAAATTCTCCATCAACACCAAAACCACGACGTGAATTACTTGAACGACGTCGTTCAAGTTTATCCGTAGTTAATCGTCGATATGATTTTACAAATAATATATTTTTAGCTGCTGGTCTTGCTGATGGAAGAATCAATGTTTGGAATATTAATACGGGAGAATTAACATTAATTTTAAAAGATCATCGATCGACTGTTTGTGGATTAGATTTTACATCATCGACAATGCAATTAGCATCATGTTCACATGATACAAAAATTAAATTATGGGATCTACTTGATGATGGTAAGAGATAAACTAGATTTTATATATATATATATTACTCCGATGATTTAATCGAGTCTCGATCTTATCAGATATAGAAAGACTTTAATCAAGTTAACATCAACTATTTATCTCGATTCGTCTGTACGTTACGATATACACCGACTGTTATCACTAGTAGAACTCTGAATTACGTCGAGTTTTTGTTTAGAACTACAGGTAATGATAGTTCCAGGAAATGCTGTTTTTTTTTAAGATGACTATCCTATTCCACACTATAGTTAAAAGATATTATTGTTCAAAGTACAAAAGAACTTTCGATACCATTTAGAACTGAATTCAATCAAAATCATTTACTAATACAACTATTCTAAAATGATCAAACGTATAACTTTCTTTGATAAGACAATATACAGTTTTTTGTTTCGTATTTTCATATAGCAGTTTAAAGACTAGACACATATTTACTTAAAAGAAAACATTTACTATTTCACAACTGAACAATTTACAATATTTTAAACACAATTTATCAATTAAGATAAAACTTTTTTCTTGCTTACCTTGAAATAGAAATTTTAAAGTTTTTAATATAGAATTAAAATCAGTCCTTTTTTTGTTTATTTACTTTTGATGAATGACTGGTAGTAATTTTACCTGCCATTGAAACATGTTTAATAGCGACATCTGTTTCAAATTATATATTTTCTTTTATCTCAGGTAACATGTATAAAACATTAAATGAATGGACTCATGTCATCAATGCTGTAAAATGGTCACCAGATGAAACACTTTTATGTGCCGTAGGTCCATATGAATTAGTTGTTTTATATGATACAACAACATGGCAAGAATTATTTAAATTAGAAGGACATTTAAATAGTGTTGCTGATTGTGTTTTTTCATCCGATAGGTAATAAAATATCATATTTATCTTGATTAAATCTAAATCGTTTCTTTTTGTTCAGTGCTTTATTAGCAACAGCTTCTTATGATACACGTGTTATATTATGGTCAACTATCACCGGAGAAATTATTAAGTCATTTGCACATAAAATTCCAATTCCATTGAAAATTTATGCTGGTGGTGATAATGGAGCATTTGTTCGATCTGTTGTTATGACAAAATATAATCATGTATTGGTTACTGCATGTGATGACAAGTAAAAATTCAAGATTAAAAGGTGGAACAAGAAAATTATCCATGTATTCTTCTTTTTAGTAAAGTACGTTGGTTTCCTTTGGTATCAAGTCAATCATCAAAAGTCATACATGAACGAACAGAAACAAATGTTCTTTGTGTTGCAATAACATCTGATAGTAAAACTATGGCTGTTAGTAATCGTAATGGTGAAGTACATCTGTTATCAGCACTTTCAACATTATCAACAAGTCAACCATCATCATTAAAATATTTCTGTCGTTTATTAATTAATAGTAGTTGTGGAATGAATAGAAAAGAAATTTTAAATTTATCTATACCACAACATTTAATTAGTTATCTTCTTTATCGAGATATTAAAATGAAATGAACAAAAGAGAATGAATGAATCATATACAAACATCATATATTTACTTTTCTTTTCTTCTTTTTTTTATGTATATAAGTTTCGGAAAATAGGTTTCTTTTTTTTTCTTTGTCTTATGTGCTTTGTTGATGCAGTAGAAGAATATGAGCGGCTATGTCTATCAAACATGTTAATACTATTTTAAAATAAAAGCAAAGCGAATAGACAAATAAATGTTTTTAAAGTAGCGTTTAATTATGGTTCAGTTGTTGGTACAGGTATTGCATTATTTTTTCGATTATTCATCAATTGTTGACGTACAGGACAACATGAGCGAATTAAAGTGAATAGATGATACAAAATCGATATAAAAAGTAACCAATATGCAAAACGATATAATATTGGATTACAATAATCCAATCGTTCTGAATTTCGATATTGTACTTTATTCCAAACTCGAAATACCCAAATACAACCAGCAATAAACCAACCAATGAGAAAAATTATGATAAAGAAGAGTATTATCGAAATACCACAAAGACCACAAGCAGCTACAATAGTTGGAGTTGATAGATCTGTTTCATTCATTTTCGGTTTAATACATAATGCAAGTAATGCTTGAAAAATAGCTGCTATAATAGCAATAAATCCAACAGCACCTCCGACTATTAAATAATGTGGTATACGCCAATTAACTGGACATTCATCTGCATAACGCCAACCAATTATTAATTGTAAAACTAATATATACGTTAAAAAAATGAAAATATATACACACAGAACTTACGAGGGATAACGGATACAATAGCAAGAACAATTAGTGTAATACTTGATCCACATAAAATTTTAATCAATGAAAGTTTTTTATCATTACTAGCCAGTGGTAGTGTATGTGTTACTGTGCTTTTTAATTTTGTTAGATCATCATCGACATCAGGATCTTTTTCCACTCTGTTTGAAGATATTGTATTGCAAACAATAACAGTATCTGCTATTGTTGGTTTGTCATTCAAATCAATAACTGCTGTTGTCATTGTATTATAGTATTTTAAAGTAAATGGAGACTGTAAAAAAGAATTTTGCACTTTGTACAATAATAAACTCCTAATGTCATTACGATAGAAAACGTATAATGTGTATATGAATTGTATATTTTATATTTTTTTTTCGTTTTCGTCTATGTACAACCAAGGTCATATGTTTATTTGCTTTCATTTTTACAATGAGTGAATTTTTTGTGAGAGGAGACTCATTCAACTTATTCCTCGCTTATTTTTCAAATATTTTATCAGCAAATAAATAAATAAATATATATGTAGTCATTATGAGCAACTTATATAGTAATGAAATAAGACTAGACTGCTATAGAACATCACGAGAGAGTAATTCAACAACAAAACGATCTATACGTTAAAAAAATAGAATTTATTTATTCTTTTAGAAATTAAAATATATGTTACAATTCTGAATAATCATAGTCAATTAAATCTATTTTATTATCGGTATTATTGTTATGTTTTAAAAGTTGAAGAATAATACTATAAGATCGAAGAAGTATCTCTCGTTCTCGTTCGAGTTTTTGAATATATTGTTGAAGTTCATCAATGATCATTGATTCTGATTTAATATTCGAATGAAACATATTGTTTGGAATATAATTTGTTAATGATGATTCAACATAATCTATTGATGTTGTATGATATGGAATTGTTGAAGATAGACTCGGTAATTCATTGGTAAGAATTGAATGTAAACGATCAATTCGATCAAGTAAATCTTGGGTTGGTGATAAAGACATGTCATATATTCAAATGATGAAAAGAAAAAAACAACAAATAGAAAGAACGAAATAAACAAAACATATGTATCTATTGTAAATATAAAGATTTAGAATTATAAGAATCGATTGGTTCAATTCACACAGATTTATTTCGTCTATTTTAATCTCACATGTTTTGGGTCATTCAAAATCAATTTTCCTTTTCGTTAGATAAATATAATGAAATAATTAAACATATTTTATTATTTATTTACGATTCAGTTGATGTTGACAGTTTTTATAATAAGTAAAATAAAAACGACCTTTTCATAGAGATATATGTCAGGTTAATTATAAATAAAATCTAAATTGCAGAAGATTCTCTCATTTTTACAAGTGTTTTAGTCTTCCTTAATTCTTCGATTTCACCCGGTGCTTTTCCACAACAATGACAACATTTTAAAATTTCGAAAATAAATGCGAATAAAAGTATCCAACAAGTAAATTTATATAGAATTGGATGACAATAATTTTTATCATCTTTGTTAGTATATTGAACAATATTCTTTACACGATAAACCCAATAACAACCAAAAATAAACCAAATGACGAGAAACAAATTGAGTATACGACTAATACATGGGAGACAACAAAGACCAACAATATAAGATATTGGATGTGTTTCTTTGTTATCAAATGCAGAAAGTCTGTTTGCTAGGATAACATCAGCCAAACCTATTATACCAGCAATAAGACCAAGAAGACCAGCAATGAGTAAATAATGTGGAATATGATAATTAACTGGACATTCCTTTGCATATCGTTGACCAATATATAATTGAGGAACTATTAAATTATAAAAACAAAACAAAAAAGATTAATTTTTCTTATACAAAAGTATAATTATATATGTACTTGGTATCATAATGAAAAGACCATAAATAATTAATCCGGAAATGAAAAAAATAATAGCTGTTTTTGATGAAGTTTCTTTTAATACTGTTGTCGATGAATATATAGGATTTTCATGAATTGGTTTTTCATCAATCGGATTCAAATAGTCATTTTCGGATGAATCAATCGTTATTTGTGTACTTTGAGCCATTGTATCTTTTCTCAATTCTATCTCTTCGCAAGCATGTATATATATGAAGGTATGCAATGAAATTAATCAAGCATGAAGGATCATATATAAACGTACATATTAGTAATATTTATTTGAAATAAAATAGAAGTTTATGATATTATAATAATCCACATTTTCCATATATAAATCAGTTTCAGCTTTGCTTTAGTTCAATTATATAATTTAATAATCACTGTATTAGTCATACTGACGCATATATATATATTACTTATGACAAATAAAAATCCCTACTAGCATTTCAAATAATACAAATAGATATTTCTATTTTTTCTTTCTCAATATTAAATATAATATGAATAACTGAAATTATTGAAATATATATATATAAATTGTTCTAAAAATAATTATGTTTAAAATTAATGATGTAAATGACAGAAGACAAATGAATACTAACTATTCATTAATATGACTTAATAAATTATTGTCAAATAATTCTTAAGAAATGAAATGTAATATCTTATATAGAATAATTAGATTTTACTTTAAATTAAAAATGACATTATGTAATTTATTTTTGCTAAATAAAATTATAAAATAAATAAATCATTTTGTAAGATTGATATGTACAACATGAAAAGAAATTTTTTGTTTACGATTATATATGTATATTTTTTATTTAAGTCCATGTTCTCATTAATTTTTCGACCATTATTTGTTGAATAAAAGTATCTAATTGTGCATTATATTGACTTTTATCAAGTTTATGACAAATAGCATTTCGTCGAAAATATTTTCCACGTTTACATTGTGTAAATAAATTCATTTGTTCAATAGAAATTAAAGCTGTTTGATCAGTTTGAAAATTTGATAAATCTAATAAATTATTAGATCTACCATCATCGGAATAATCATCAAGACCAGGTAATGCATTAATTAAACAAGGTGGAATTGTATCATAGACTCTTTCAAAATCAGGCCAAACAAATTCATTATATTGATCATCAATTGTTGAAGAAAATGATTCATAATTACCAAACCGAACCATACGACGTTCAGTTGTATTTTCATGTATATCTTCACTACGTGTACGATCTTCTTTGGTTAAAACAAAACGACGTTTAAATCTTGAACATAGATGTTTTAATCGATTATTATTATTTGTAATTGTTGGTGATGTTGGTAATGATGATTGTATTTCTGGTTCATCATAAGAGAACGCTTTGGCTCGATTTAATTTTGATCGATTGGAAAAATATGGTGAATTTTTATCAATTATATTATTGCTTTCGTCATCATCAGTAGTATAAGAATGATGATTTCGATGTTCACGAATTAAATGTAAATTATGAACGCGACGTGGTAATGTAACTGATGTCATGTAAATATTGTTACATATATATATATAAATAGAGATTATTGAGTTAAAATTTGTTTGTTTCTATTTGACAGAAAAAAACAAGTATCATATACTTCACTTGATGAAAAAGTAAATGAAGACTAAGTTTATATACAAAGAATTTCTTGTTGAATCAAGTTGATGAGCTTGCTTTTATATGTGTAACGTACTTGTAAGAAAATTAAATTACTGTAAACCATTAGGATGATGTTCTTATTTTTTTTTTCTCTCTTGCTTTTATCCTTCGTGTGTTAGTTATTAATATGTTTTTTCCTTCTTCTGTCATTTTGATAAACACATCTTTTTCTATAATAGTTTTTTTCTGTGCGTTTAGTCATTCATCATGTTATAATATATCGAAAACACGAAGAGTGTATGTTTGAACTTACAATGACATGTCCTTTAAGTGAAATTTTTGCTTGAATAAATTAAATCTTAATAAATTTTTCTTATCTCTGAAGTATATCTGTCAATGAAGATAAGAATGATTTAATATTTAATTAAACTTGAAATATTCACATCATAATGAATTAATGGCATGTGGAAAAAAAAGACAAGAAACTTAAAAAAAAACTATCTTATAGATTATAATGTTCGAAGTGTATGAAGATAATAAAAAAGAAAACGATAATAGAAATAAAATGATTTATTAAGTATTTATATGTAATGTTCTTGTATTTGGCGATGTTGTGACTGGTTCTTGTAAAATTTCTTCATTCTCATTTGTAATATCTGTTGGATTAGTTATCTCACTATTTGCATTTGATATATGAACATGATTAGCACTACGTGTATATGGATGAACACCATTTAAAAGATAATAACCAATGCCAAGAGCTAAAGAAATAAGTATAGAAATATGTAAGTAAAGGATATATTATCTTACCAATCACAGCAGAAAAAAGAAAACCAACAAAATTATTCATAACCATTAACATTAAGATATAGCTTAATGCTGTTTGAACTAAACGTACGAGTGTACGTACAATATGAAGACCAAATCTAGATAAAACAGCATAAATTTTTAAAAAAAGTATAGGAATTTAAATTTTATCTTCGTAATACCGTCGCTTTCGTATTGTTTTTTCTGATAATTGATTTAATGATGAATGTGATCGAGGATGATTACCAGTTACTGAATAATTTCGAAGATAAAGATCGATTCCTCGACTTAATTCAATTAATAATGCAAAAGACATACAAGCAATAACAGAACCAAAACAATCTAATAATAATCAATTGATATTTATTTTTTCTATAAAAATTTTCGAAATTAAAATTCACCTCCGAATGAAGTAATATTTAAATTATTGAACAGAAAATTGTTTTGATAACATTTGAAATTATATGTCATTTTTGTTCGTTTTTTTCTGACAAAAATAATATCTACAATATATATTCATTATTTTTATTTTCGATCTGTTAATAGAAAATTAATTCTTAATAAACTAAGTCAAAGATCATAATAATGTTCTTTTGATGTCGATGATACTTATAAAATAATAGTTTTAATTATACAAAGATTATGTATCAGTAAGATGAGGATTTCCAGTCGAGAAAATAAGCTTGTCTAGATTTAATCGAGACATATATATATGGCACAGTTACATGAAAAATAAAGATTTAACTATTTACTTTATAGAAGTAATTTATTTCAAAATAAAATTTAACTTCAAAAAACAAAATATTATAAAGTTGAGAATGAACTTTTCAGTTGGGTTACAAATTACTGTAATTTATATGACTACTAGTGATTATCCCTGAAGTATCGCATGATCATATAGATAATATTTCCTTGTGTTATTAGAAATATTAATAACGCAGTAATCTTCAACATTGCTTTAAGTAATAACCTTGGTAAATAAGAACATATTTCTGGTTACCATAAAAAATAGGATCAGAAACAAAAAAACACATTCAAAATTGCTGTTATTATCAACATTTATGTTTTACGTAGTTTATCTACTATAATATTAGTTAGAAAAGAGATAGACATACGAAGAAACGGAAGTGAAATATAATGAATATGTATCATGGTACGATCTGTGTCAATAATGGATGTGAATATGCTACTAAAATCATTTATATATAATTTCTCAGTGGATTACTACTGATTTGATCATTTATAAAAATTTGACATTGTGATCAAGGACATTACCCTATAATCGAATAATCTAGTGCAAAATATTCCGATTAAGCTTTTCATACTTAAATATTCTCTAATTCAACTGAAATACTTTTAATTTACTAACTTGTATGATCCCATAAATATAATTCGCTATCTTTAGTTTTGTTTATTTTATTTTCCTTCTCTCTCTTGAACATATAATCTTGATTCATCATGCATGGTTTATAAATTCGATTAAATAATCTATAAAAGTAATATCAAACAAATTCTTTGATTCTAATTAAAACAATATTTGTATATTTTTTTTTTAATTATCATATATCAAACATTTCGCATTGATAATGATATTTTACGACTACAAATAACAAAGCAAATGAATTATATCAGAGACTAAAGAACACAAAAAAGATAGATGATCATTATTTAGATCCATGCATACACAAATGACAAGTTTAAAAACAAAAATAATAGTTATACCCCACATAATAAACAAGAAAAGGACCGGGAACAAAAAAAAGAAAACGAGATTTGAGTACATATATAAATAAAAAGAATTATATATACATTGTTATTTTTTTTTCTCAATATTAAATTTTTGAAATATCTTGTTTGACTTGAAATTGACATGTTAATTCGTTTATCCCGGATTTAAATCGTTGCATTGTCTGTTCTGAATATGAATCTTCATTAAATAATTCATCTATGTCTAGTTCAAGATTAAGTTCATCATCATCATCATCGTCATCATCAACTAATGGAAGCTCATTCTAAAATAAAATATAAAATAAAATAAGAATTTCTATTTAAATAATATAATTTACTTGTTGTAAAGAATTTTTAATTATATTTGCAGCATTCCCTATATCTGTACTTATATGTAAAGCTGGAGATGAAGTTGATGAAGATGATGCTGGAGTTGTTGGAGATGTTGAATTAATTGTTGAATCTGTTGTTTTATTAATAAATCGTACAATGGGTGCTTGTATTGAATGGTTCTTTAAATCATGACTTGTTACACGAGATGATAAACGAACAATTGGTGCTGCTGATTTTAACCGTTTGTTCGCTAGAGAATTATTTGTCGATGTTGAAGGACGTTTTCGATTCTATTATAATAGATATAGATATAGTCTATTTAGACAATGAACATCGTTAGGTAGGATGCTGAACTTCTAGTCAATAATTTTTCACAAAAAACATCTTTATAGGAATAATAGATCTTGATATATCAATCAAAATAGGGATTTAGTATAACATTCATCTATTTTGTCTTTATCAAAAAACTCTGTTCAGTTCAAACTTTCTTATTTAATTCATATAAATAATTACCAAATCTTTTATTGTTGTTGATGATGAATTGAAATGTTGTTGTTGTTGTTTTTGACTAGATGAGATTGATAATTTTTTGTTATCATTCAAATGTTTTTTTCCATTCATAATCTTTTTCATTTGTTCATTTCTTGTTCTCATATAAACTTTCATTTTATCTAATTTTTGTTTTAATTTTCCTGATAAAATTTTAATTTGTTGACTTTCATCTGAATTTAAATTATCTTCCATTTGTTTTTGTTCATCATCTAAACATTTTATTTCTGTTTTTGTTGTTATAAAATCAATTTGTAAACTAACACGACGTTCATGTTTTTTTAAAGCATCTAATTGTTGTTTTATTTTAACGCGTTTTACTTTAAAAATTTTCTTTTCATTTTCTGTATAAATACTTGAAATTAAATTTTGTTCGCATTCATCAATTTGTTTAACAACATGGGAGATTTTTTTTGAAGTTGTTTGAGTTTCATTTTGTAATGAAGCAAGTATTAATGATAAATCACGATGATCTGATAAAACAGGATATGGAAGTTTTAATGTTGATTCTTTACGATTAGTTAAAGATAATGATGAATCAGAATTCATTTTATTTACTATAGAATCAGAGCTTTTGTTTAATAATGGAGAAGAATTTGGTGATGGTGAATGAATTTCATATGTTGAATAAAATTCATTTAATTTATTGTCGGAAGATGATAAATGATCATGAGTAGCAGGAAGAGTATCCATAATTACAGCAGTGGATGTCATTCTATGAAACGAAAAATTTGTGTAAACAATCTATGTTTGCAGTATTGAATATAAACTTACCTGTTTGATATGATAAGAAAACGAGAATCATAAAATGATACCGTCTTGGCTGATATACATCTGAAAAACAAAGAAACATAGTAGACAATACACGTATATAGATACAAAAAGAAAACAAAATCCATTAGGTAACAAAAAATCATATCAACAATACAAGAACAAAACAAAAAAATATAATATCCACTCAAGGAGTTGATGATAATCCATAAAGGATTAAACTAAGTGTTGATGATGGACCAGCATTATGTTTCGAAAATGACGGAAACATACGTTCAACACCACCTGATCGTTTTGTTGATTTTCCTAAATGTGTACAACGATTAAAACTTGGTAATATTAATGTTTCCATAGTTGATTTTTTATTATTTATACTAGATGATTGTGTTGCACGCGATGGAGCAGGTGTTGGACGTTCCCAACGTTCATAATTTCTATTATTATTACCATTTGGTACATCATTTGAATCATCATCAATAGAAAAATTATTTGTATCGTCATCTGTATCACCATCAAATGATTGATTATCATCATAATCATCTTCATCATCATCATCATGTTCACTTCCACTTAATTTTAATAGAGCATTGATATCTTGATGTGTTAATGATTCAACAATTTTCTTTCCAATAGATATATCTCGAGGTGGTGGAGTAGTTGATAAATCATTAAGACCACGATGTTCAGCATTTGCATTATTATTTGCATCAAGAAAGAACTTTTGTAATAGACCCATAGGTGTTTGTGGTTCACTTGATGATGGCGTTCTACCACCATTTAGATTCGAAAGAACATCAACTAAATTAGGTCGAGATGATGAACTACCAGCTGCAGCATTATGTAAAACATTGAATGGATTAGCAGCAGCAGCAGCTAAAAATTCTTGTTGTTGTTGTAATATAAGTGCAGTTTCATAATCCATCATTTCATCATCGAATTGAAAATCTATAAACAAATATTAGTTATTTAATTTTTTTCTTTACAGATAAATTACCATTGATATCGTCTTGACTAACACCTAATTTTTTATGTGCTTCAGCTGTTAATGCACGTAAAATAGGATTCGATCCTTTTAAAAAACTAAATTGTAATTGCATAGCTACATGACGTCTCCATGCTTCTTCATGATCAATAATAGTTGATTCATTTTCATTTGTTAATTGTTGGACGATTTGTGCATTATTATTTTTTTTCTTATTTCGATTTCTCTTTGTTTTTCTTCGTCTTCTATTGAATTTCGCTGATACTGCTTGACTTCTTTCCGGATTCACTATTGGTTGAGTATCATTTTCATCATCATCATCATCATCGTCATCATCATCATTATCGACCGCGGTAGTAGTAGCACCAGTAGCAACATCTGTAGTAGAAATTGTTTCCTTAATTTGAGATGAAGAAGAACTTGGTGCATTAATTAAATTAGCAAAACGAGTTTTAATTGCATCAAGAGTAGCTGATGATGAAGAACTTGATGGCATTGGTAATGGTGGTGGTTCGATTGGATTAAAACCATCTGGTACAGCTCGTGGTTCACTAGCCGAGAGTGAAACAGGTACTTGCGGTTCCGATGTTGTTTCTTCTTCTTCATCATCAGAATCAGATGATTCAAAAAGAATTTTTTTTCCAGTAACTTTATTTAAATCGAATGGTGGTAATTGATTTTCTTCGTGTCGTTTCATTTCAGGTGATGGTGGAAGTGGTATTGATGATGGAGGAATTTCTGATTGATCAGTAAGAAATGTATTATTAGCATATTCTCTATTAGCTGATCGCATAAATCGTTGAAGTTTACGAAATTCCTTAAACGAAGAAAAAATATATATTTATGATTTTTTGTATTTTATTAAATATACTTGTAATAATATATGAAATTGTTTTTTATTTTGTTCTTTTTCTCGTTGTGTTTTTGTTTTCATTCGTTTTAATTTTTCAATACGAATTCGTAAATTAATATATTCATTTTGTTTTTTTAAACGTTCATAATTCATTAAATTTGCTTGTTGATCATATAATGGATTACTTTTACTTGCTTCTAATTGACGTAATTGGTTTTTTAATTGACGATTAACAACTTCAAGTTCACGTTTATCATTAATAACTGGATATGGAATATGTTGATTATAAAATGTTTCTTTTGGATTAATTATATTATTTTCTTGTTCGTCAAGATTTTCATCGAGAATTTTTGATTCATCAAGAGAAAGATTCGATAAAGGTATTTGATTTGAAAATGATGATGCTGATAATAATAGTGATGATGATGGTGGTGGTGAGAGGGATGGTGATGATGAAAATGAAAGATCCTCGGTAAGATCACGATAAGAAGTTGTGGGTCGAGATGAAAGTAAATCTCGAGTTTTTGTATCATTATTATCATCTAATGCATCTAAATCATGATATGCTTTTTCATTTGATTGTCTAAATAGAAAAATAATAATTATAAAAAGTAAATTAATTTGTTTTGTTAATTACAATGAATCTCTTGATGATGATCTTGATCGACTAGATGAACTATACGATGTTGTTCGTATACGTGGTGGTGGAATAATTCGAGTTTCTGGTTGAGTAATTTCTTCAATTTTTTTAACTGGTTTCTTTTGAATAATTTCACGTTCTGGTGTTGGACTATGACTTAATCGTGCTTTAAGATTTGTTAAACGTGTTTGTACAGCAATCCATTTTTCACGTAAATTTTTTATTTCAGTTAATAAACGTTTTTTTTTATCAATATCAGCTTGTGGCTGAGCTTTAAGTTCATCACGTAATTCTAATAAACGTTTACCAAGTGTTTTACGTTTAGTTTCAAGTGATAAATATGCTTGCTTTGGAGTTAAAGATGAAAGATTATCATCGGATTCTTCATCGATTTGTTCATCATCTTCATCGTCATCACTTGATGTACTCGATGAACTTGATGTTGTATCATCTTCATCACTTGAACTTGATAAATTTTCTGGATGATCTTCATTATTAGACATATCGAAGGAAAATAATGGCATACAAATTCTATTTGGAAAATGACATCTGATTGGATTCTTATTTGATATAATAAAACACCAATCAGATTAAAGTAGAGGTCAGACTTTTGTTTGTTGAGATTTCACCAATTAGAATTCAGGGTTATCTCTTATTTTATTTTATTATGAAAAAATTAGAAAGTGTCAAACATTCAGTTCAATATCAACGAACATATACAACTGATTATGATTTCAATACTTTTTATTTACAAAAAATCCAGTGAAAATATTAAAATTTATTTAACACAGGACGAAATGAATTAAAAGAAGAATTTTCTTTGCAATATTTGATTTGAATTTGAAGAAAATCATCACCTTTATAGTATTCATTCATTCGTTGAAGGATATTATGTTATTTTAGAAAAATAGTTCAATTTTCTATTACATAAAGCTCAAGTATAAGTTCATAACATTTCAATAGAATTAGAAATATATTGAAAATAGAATAATAAACAATGAAGTTTCCTCATATACCAATCATTTCAATACTTCCATACAAAGAGTCTCTAATTACTCACATTCGCCACTCCTGTAAAAATCCGTTTGTTGATTTATTATATTTTCAAGAGAAGACAGTAACATGAGTTGAATAAACTTTGTCATATGAAATACACTAAAAAATTTTTGGATACTTTTCTCGTGAATGACAATAAGATAGGTAATTCTGACTCGTTATCTCATCCCTGGACCACTCTATATAAATCAATGTATTTAAGTTGTAAGTTATTTTCTTTGAATTAAATTTGACATCGATAATAAATCTATAAATATTTATTGTCAGTTACTATCATGAACTAACATTATCTTTTGAAATCCTTAAAATAGCAACAAAGTTTATGATCGAATCAATTTATACAGCAGTTAAACATGATGATTTAACACTTGAAAGTATCAAATGATTTTTTGTTGTTGATGAATGTGAAGAACAAAAACTTGATACTTACTTTAATTGATATGATATACTAAAAATAACATAAAGTGTTATGTTTTTTTCAATACTAAATATAAAGTCAATTGATCTAACAGAAAAGATGGATGAAACTGATTTGAAAGTTTCATCTATGGATATACGTATATTTATTATAACTGATATTTAAACACGAAATATTGATTATTTACAATGTTCTAGACGAAAAACTTATGCTAATGCTAAATATTTAATATTTTTTACATTTTTCTCAGAAACAAAATTTTTCAACGTAAATTGTTGAAGTGGTTAATTGAGTAAAGTAGATTCTATTTGAAATAAGAATGAATATATTACTGAGTAGACAGAATTTTGTAATTGTCAATGTATACACATGCTTATCGATTTTACGTAATTATCTTTGCTTACGTCTTTCCATTGTACTTTTTTTCCATATACGCCCAATAACAATTATACATATATACCTCGTGCCTGTATTATCTTCGGGTTTACTAGTACACGATTATAATTACGTTATTGTCGAAACTCTTTTTTCTTTCCTTTAGTTAATATAAACGAAACAGAACTGTTCTAGTTAATATATTACACGTGCTTTTCTTCGTTTTACTACGACAGAAAAAAACAAATAGAGAAAAAAAAGTAACAGAACAGTATTTTTCTGTTATATATTTGTTCGCAGAGGACATAAGAAAACAAACAGAGCACCGAGTACAATCATAAGAGCTATTTTTTACTGTTGTTCTATAAGAGGACAATGATAGTGCGTTTCGACGAGGTATATATATCAGGGCTTTTAATACGTAAACGGTTAGTGATATGTTGCGCAGTACAATATTATATATGTAATACATATAATGCTAACCTTTCTTACCTATTTATTAACTAAACGTTGGATGATCATGGCCTTTTGCTCTCGTAATCTTGTTACATTAATGAATACAATGCAAAATAATTCTCGTCCATTCGACGAAATTCTCTGCTCATTTGATCCAACAATGGATTCAACAACAGCAGTAACTAATAACAATGATTGTCATCAACAAAACACTTATGACGATTGTTTAACTTGAACATTAGAACATTTTACCTTAATGGCTAATGGATAAAAATTACCGTTCATGATGATGATGATGTAATACATTTACATGCATTGCAACTTTTTAGTTGGCTTGAACTACGAATGAAAATTTATGGCATATGCCTCATAGACTTCTAAAAGACATACTTATACAATTTATTGTACGAAATTCTGTATTATATTATATTATATTTATTTTTTTATTTGTAAATACATAAAATAAAAAGCAAAAAGAAAAAATTAAATGACAGTACATTTCGATTGTTTTATTAAATTTGCTTGTTGACAACGAAAAGTTAAATGTATATCATCTATAAAATAAGTATTATTTTGAAATAATTCATAACCATTTGAATTATTACAATAATTATATGCTGTATAATTAATAAGAAAACGTTGCATTAATGAATTTGCACTCATAAATGGCCATAAATATTCATCAAGAATTATTTTTTGTTCCGAAAGAAAATTTGTACGTAATAATAAATAAATAATTGATTCATCATTTGTTAAAAGTTTCTTTATATTTAATAAATCTTGTTCATCATCATAAGATTTTAGTGAACATTCAATATGATATGGATTTGATTGAATATTTGAACGAATAATTTTTAATAAAAGTTTTATTATATGATATTCAATTGATTTATTTGATCGAGAAAGAAAACCAAAAGGTAGAAATAATGTATGATTTAATGGATAATAAATTGGTTCAATATAATATGAACGTTCTTGTTCATCATATGGGATTAATGATAAATATTGAACATATTCAAGATAGGATGAAAATTTATTTAATATAGATATATTATATGATGAGGAGTAATGACCGATTTGAATATGTATTTGATTTAATTCGTTAAAAATTAAATTTTTTTCATTAGGAAATAAATGATCAGATAATTCAGTTAATAAACGAAAACGATCGATAAGATTTTGTACTAAGATTTTTGTTATATTAAGAGATGTCTAAATAAAATAATTTATTTTTCTTTATTTATTATAAAACATGAAAATAACTTTTATGCAATGAAGAAGAAAAAAAGAAAAACATCATATTTGCTTACGTCAATTACCTTGCTTAATCGAGAACAATCCCCTCTTCTTTTGACTTGTATGAAACAATAGGATTCATACAAATAATACTCTTCGTATATGTTATTTATAGATAAAACAAACGACTGGATGGTATGCGAATTATTACTTCTTTCTCTTTTTAACATTATCCATGTGCAGAGGTGAAAACGAGTAAATACAGACGAACCTTCATCGAGGGGTTTATAAAAAACTGATTTACGTCAGAAATATTCTAAGCTAATGATAATTTGTTTCAAATCTATTTGAACTAATGAGAGTTTATTTAGTATTAATAAATAATATTAATATTGATTTATAAGTTTTTTTTACTGAATATTCGAGAACTATTTTCGTCGTATAATTAAACATGGTAAAACTCGAAAAATCATTGATGTAATCAAAAGTACTTCAATTTAGGCTTACCTACTTCTCAAGATTAAAATGTAAATACTTCCTTTTCTGTTTTATTTAAAAATCTACCTTGGGATAAAAATGAAATAATAAACTTTAAGTTTGCCTCTAGTTTAAAATGAATTGTAAGTGTTTATGGATAAAAGAAAAGTCTTATTACCTGATTATGATCATTCATTAATTGATTGAGTAATGAAGGATGATAACAATTTAAAATATCAAAACAACTAATAATCTGACATGATAAATTCGGGTAATTTGTTTCGTACGTATAACCATTCTGAGATTCTTCTTTATAATGGTTTATATGAATATCATTTGTATGATGATGAACATATGGTTGATAATATGGATATTTAAATTTTCTATAATTATCAAAATAAGCAAAATTAACTAAAGTATCTATTGAAGTTTTCTTTAATAATCGATCGTGTAACATGAATAAAAATGGCCAATCATTTGAAATAAAATATTCAGTTGTTTTATTAAAGGAATAAAGATTAATTGTTGATAGTAATTCATTTGATTTTATTCGTTTATCTAGTAATATTTCAAGTAAATCAATAATACATGAATGATTACTATTATTCAACGTAAGAATTTGTTCAATTTGTTCTAAATCAGTTTTAATACGTTGAAGATCTTGAACAAGTGTATGATTATCTGTTATTTTATCTAATACACGTATTTGTTTATCAATAGATTGTGTTTTAAAATCATGTAAACGAGAATATAAGAAATCATTTAATAATTCAATTAAATTTTGTAGACCATTATTCGTATTGAATTTTAATGATGAAAGACATTGATGATAATTTGTAAAAGATAATATTCGTCTTATAATCAAAGAATCTTGATTATATTCTTGTTCATAGGATTTTATAAGAATTTTTTCTTCAGATAAAAATTTTTCATAATCATTATTAAATTGGATTAAATTTTTTAATGCTGTTTGATTTAAAATTGTTAAATTTGAAAAAATAGATTTTACCGATGGTAATGGCCGACGATTTATTCGAATTATAGTAGAAGTATTTGATGATGATGAAGGAAGAATTTGAAAAAATGGATTTGATAAAAGAAATAATGATAATGTTGAATTTATATATATTTTATTTGTTCGATTGTATAAAGTTAAATGTGATCTATATGGTTCTTGTAGAGTAAGATTAGTAAAATAACGTTCAAGTTCATCAAGTAATAATACTGGTGATTGAGTTTCACATAGTTGATATAATCGGTAAATGGATGATGTGTGATCGCCTAAAGAAATAAGAATATATAGACTCAACATTGTTCACATTTAACTCCTATTTTTTTAATCTTTTCTAAAAAGGTTGAATATCAGATCAATCATCGAAAAAAAAACTTATATTTCATACTTTCAGTAGATATTAATTGATTTGTCATATTTGTCATAAGTTGCCCATGAATTTTATGTCGTATATATGTCCATTTTTGTTCACTATCATCTTTATCAATGAATTCTTCAATATGTCTTTTTTGCATCCATTTGTCACATACAAATTCATAAAAATTTTCACAGGGATCTATGTTAATATTAACGAAATCAGGTAATTGTCGTTTTTTTGGGTATGGGTTGTATACCTGGTTTTGGATCAATATAACCGCTATTTAATTGATAGATGACTACAGAGGCTAGGATAACAACAATAGCGAGACAAAATCCAAAAAGAATACAAACAAGACAACAATGATTTGATGATGATGATGATGATGTAGGCATAATTGGATTGTATAAATAGATATATGTTTGTTTTGGTTGTCGTCGGCAACAACGTGACCGACTTATCCATGCGAAACAATTAGCCATTTTCTTAATTTTCGATACGAATACTATTTCAATAATAGAAATTAGTTAAATGAATTGTTTATCTTCTTAAATAACTTACATGAATATAAGTCGACATTGTTTTTGTTGACGATCAAGTGAATGGCAATGGCACAAAGCTTTTATTGCCATATTAGTAGCACGGAGATGATAATAATGATAATGATGATGATGAGGAGGATAACGAGTAAGGAGACGAACCTTCAAAGAAATAATCAACTATATAGATGTGTTGTTTTCTTCTTTAGCACATATACATCATTAACCCGCGAGGGTACAATGAATTAATGAAACGTGCATATGTACGCATGCACATCTACACACCATCCTTTTCCGATTATTCTCGTTTGCATTTTCTCATTTGCTAACATTAATCGTACTATATTCTTCGTATATTTAGGAAGCGTCCGTCAGTTCTTCATTCTAAATCGGATATGGTGTCTTGCATGCAAGTGAATTAGAAGGGAAACCGATCGTGGCAATTAAGTTTACGCGTATGTGAATGTACTGTCCACAATAACCGGACATGTGTCTATGAGTGCTTGCACGATCATCGACACTGACTGACCATTTATTATTACTTCATTTTATATTCTAATACTTATTCTAACATCAACAAAGAGAGAATAGAAAAACACAAGAGAAAGAAAAATTGAATGAATAGGATGACACAAATATATATATATATATATATGTATGTGTATGTAGAATCGGAAGCTGATTGATCATATTCAAAACATGGCATTTCTCAAGCAATGAAAATAATAGCTGAATAGAATAATCATATATCATTAAGTTTATTTGTATTAAATTTTGTTTTTTTTTTCTTCTTACAATATGTATGTAATAGCCGAAAGACATGGTTACTTGCTTTTGCTCTTCAATTATCCATTAGATGGGTGGAGAGAGAGAGAGAACGAAAACGAATAATATTCGGTACCATCAAACAGTCTCTTATATTATATTCTAGTCTTCTCTCCTTCTATTCATGTCGCTCGCTATCCATTGTAATCAGAGACGATATGACAATGGGTTGAACACGTCTGCTTTCTTCATTCCTATTTTACTACTTGTAGAAACAATTTGAAAAAAAACAAATTATAATGAACAACATACGGACAATATCAACATACCGATAAATTGAAATTTTGTTGTATCAAAGTAAAACGCTATATGCCGCTGAAGTAAAAGACTTGACTCGTTCTTTTCTTTCTTTCATACTCTCAATATTGAATTCAATTCAATCGACTGTTCATTCTGTTCTGTGACTACAATATGTCATAACACATAGAGATATATATACATAAAAGCAATGAAGAGTTAAGGTGAGAAAGTTGTTAAAATAACTATTGGTTCTTTTTTTTTGAACTATAATTTTTTGTTTTACAGAATATGTAACATAAAAACTAATGAATCAATCAACAGAAAAAGAAAAGTAATGGAACAAATGAATTTTAAAAAGTACAGGAAAAAAAGAAGAAGAAGAAATGAGCATTATACTTATGTGTGGTTATTTTCTTAACATTTCTATTTCATAATCGAATACATGACTGAGGACGTATTTCCTGTAAAAAAAAAGAAAATGAGTAAATCTATTCATATGTACTTAATATGTACTAATAAAGATAAAATTTCTCATACGAAATATTCTATTATAAATGTATCTATATTGATAACAAAAAAGAAAACTTCTATGATATATTTACATAATAGAACATCGTAAAACTCGAGGGAGATAAATGACAAGTAGATCTTTATTTTTTCGTTCTGATCAATGGACGGAAAAATGAAGAATATGAAAACTTCCGGTTATCACAACTTCTCTACTCATTTCACTATAGAAAGATCATTAAGGTATAAATTATGTATATGCTTTTATTGAAATAATGACATCATCTTACGTGAGAATATGCCATTTAAAATTTTCTCGCTTTTTTTTT